CCGGGGGATACTCACCGCGCGCGCCGCTCCGGGGCCCGGGCAACGCGCAGCCCCGCGCCGAGTCCGCGCCCAGCCCCGGCCTGCAGAGCTCGGCAGCCGCCGAGTGGGGGGAGCTTCCTCCGCTCTCCCTCCAAAGCGCTTAAAGAGACAGCGGCCGCTTTGTGCTCCGGCGCCGCGCAGGGCCCGGCCGTGCCCCCTGGCGCTGGGGGAGGGGAGCGGGACCCAGCCCAGGGCTGGATCGCTGCGGGGGGGCTGCCAAGTGCTCCCAACGGGGACACCGGGGGAGAGGGAGTAAATTAGGGCCAAGGCCCATAGCAATACGGGGGCTAGTTTCCTACCACCCAGGGACAATTGCATGGCGTGCCGGGGGGGCACAGCGCAGAGCCGCGAGCAGGGCTTGCCAGGGAGCCCATCACTGTGGCCTCGAGCCGTCAGGCAGGCACACACCTTGGGTAAAGGCCAAGGCCCCACTACCATGTTGCTGGGAGGGGGAAGGGATCCCCGCCGAAGGGCCAAGAGCAAGCGGAGCTGCCCCGCGAGGAGGGAAGGGCTGAGGGAGCGGAGAAGCGGAGCCAGGGTCCAGGCTGTCCGCTGTGGGGGGGAAGGGAGACGTTCCTAGAGCGGCCAGACCAAAAACGCTCCAGGCTGGGGGGTGGCTGCGCTGTGCCCGCAAGACACGACTCAGCCGTGCACAGGAATTTCCCCCGTGCACAGGTGAGCAAAGAGGAAAGAAGCCACGTCCCGCTTGCTGTGAGGCCTCTGCTGCTGTCTCCGGAGGAAATCACCAACACTTGACGCAACTCTCTGCTGGCTCATGCGGCTCTAAGAGGAGTCTCAGCCCCCTAGGCTCAGGTCCCCGCAGCTAAAAGAGGAAGCACTCAGCAAATATTTCAGCAAGCAAGGGCTGATTCGGTTTTGTCTAACCCCCCAGCGCTCAGTGCCGGGGCCCGGTGGGGACAGAGAAGTGAAATCAGACACACAGTTCCAGGCTGGCAGCTGCTCGGGAGAGGGGTCCCCGTTCTGATCCTAGCTGGGGAGATTTTTGGTAACCAAGATTACATTTTGACTTGAAAATTAAGTGTTACCAACCCTATCAATTCAATAATAATGAGGTCCCCTCACATTGCTAATAATCAGAGGTGTAGCCGTGTTAGTCTGGATCTGTAAAAAGCAGCAACAAGTCCAGGGGCACCTTATAGACTAACAGATGTATTGGAGCATAAGCTTTCGTGGGTGAATACCCACTTCTTCAGATGCACCCATGCAAGCTTATGCTCCAATACATCTGTTAGTCTATAAGGTGCCACAGGACGCTTTGGTGCTTATTGCTAATAATGAGAGTGGTGGTTTTTTTTTCTTTGCTAGTTTCTGAGCCTTTATGCTGCTTCTAGCTTTTCTTTGCCACAATATGGACTAGACACCTCAAAGAAAAAGTAAGTGAAGACTAACATTCTCACCTGGACAGTGCTGGATTAGGCTAGAAGGGCATTCCAGCTGTCCCCAGTACTTCTGGCAAAGGAGGGGGCCCAGCAACTGACACCTACAGTCCAAGCCATGCCCAAGACACCAGCGTGAGTGGCCCTGGGCTTGGGAACCAATGCCCAACCACAAGGCCAGGGCTGGGAAGCCTGCCAGAGTGTCAGTGCTGTGGAATAGGAGGGCAGGCCCTGGAACTTCCCCAAGCCCTCTGCAGGAGGAGGTACCATGCAGCACCAGGTTTTTGCACAGAAAGCAGGGTGCTCAGGGGCTGCAGGTACTTTCCCCTGTGCTCTCTGGGTTGTGGCCTGCACTGGTACCAGGGATCCAGGCTTGGCACACCTCAGCAGACGGGGAGTTACTGCGCAGGCCCCAGCACCCCTGTAGAAAGCCCCAGTGGCTGCCCTGATCATCTGACTCCAACAGCTGGGGCTTTAAAATATACACCAACTATTTCCAGAGTGGGCAACCTTCACATTCCATGGCCATTTTCCTTCCTTTGTGTTCGTCTCTCCCTGTCCAAAGTATCCTACACCCTTATAGAGAATGTAAGAGGCATTTTATCCATGGAGGTTGTTTTTTTTGGGACCACCTTATAGAAATCTATAGGATGAGTAAAAAAACCTATAGAAAGGAGATCATTCTTCATTAAATTCCTATGGGTTTTTAGGCTAAGTTCTACAGAAAAGCGGTTTTCAAACTTTTCCATACTGGGGACCCTCCCCCTCCCATCTGGCTATATGGAAGGACAAAGTTGTCTGCAACCCCAGGTTGAGAATCCCTGCTCTAAAGCTGTATTAGTTTCATTCCTGTTACATTCCATAGGATTTTTCCATAAGGGTCTGAGAGTAGGGAACTCTCCCCCTCCCCCAATTTTGAGGCGTTCATCACTGGAAACGGGGTTTAAGGAGGGTGGAGTTTTCCTGCTGTTATGGCAGGTGTGAGGTCCCCTGCTTTGATGCTCATAGGGAGCCCTTTGAGATCTCCTACCTTGAAAGGTGTCTCGCTTTGGCCTATGAAGCAGCACCCTTTAAGGAATAAGCCTGCCCTCTCCTATACATGGGACCTAGAGATGCACTCACCTAACCCATCAACCACACACAGCATTCATTGCAAGAACTGTTAACAAAACAAACTGTGTGTGATAGAAATCACAGAGAGAGCTTTCCATTAACACTAGGGTTACCATATCTAACAAATAAAAAAAGAGGACCCTCCACGGGCCCTGGCCCCGCCCATTTCCCCACCCCCAGCCCCGCACCAACTCCGCCCCTTCCCCACCTTAACTCCGCCCCCTCCTCCCTCCCACTCCCAGCCACGCGGAAAGGGCTGCTCGAGCGCTACCGGCTTCACGGTTTGCCGGGCAGCCCCCAGACCCTGCGCCCCCGGCTGG